TCCACACTTTTGGGTTCCAGCCACACTATAGCATGGGCCAGGGCTCCATTCCTCCTTCTTTGAACCCAGGGGCATTTTGCCATGGAGCCACATCCCCAGCCCTGTCTTAGTTCTTAGTTTTGAGACAGCCATGTGCCAGGGTGCCCGGTTTCATTCCTCCTTGTGGCTGAACTATATTCTGTTACAAGGACAGGCCACAGTTTTGCCTTTCGTTTTTGCGGTGCTGGGGATGGAACCCAGGGCCTCGCACCCACAAGGCAAGCGCTGTGCCACTGTGCTGCCCCCCAGCCCCAGATCACGTGTGTTTACCCTTCATTTGCTGAGGGACGTTCAGGCTGTTTGGATGGGAGTGTACGTTGAGAGTTAGGTGCAGTTCAAGCGCTTAATCCCCACCCCCAGCTCTAAAGTCATACACTATGAAATGATCATTTGCACAGTTTTTCTTTGGGGAAATAAGGGTACAAGCCAAAAAGGAAACAGGCCATCTCCTAGGCTTTTATACTCTAAAGATGCAGTAGAGACAGAAAATAGGGAAAGCAAGAATGAAATACCATAAATGCCAGGTGAAGAACCAAAGGACCTTCCAGGCAGTGGGACGTGCAAAGGCCCTGAGGTAGGCAGAAGCTGATGTGGCTGGAAGTAGGACAAGTTGGGGGGAGGGGGAGGAGAGGGACAGAAGAGGCCTGCAGGCTGTGGAAAAGAATCTAAGATGTACTCTGAGGTGGGGAAACAGGGAAACTGAGATTCAGGAAGAGAGAGGGAGAGAGACTAGGAACCCAAGGAAGAGATGGGGACTTAGCATCTTGAGATCTGGGCCCCAATGGCCACGAAGGCTTCAGCCGCGTCTTGTAGCACACCCCAGACCCCTCTGCAGTACTCTGACTTCACTAGCACAGGCCACCACCCTGCACCCAGAACAGTGTGGGCACACAGTAGGCACTCTATAGATGTGGGTAAACAGAGGGATGGACAGATGAGTGGATGTGGATGGACAAATGGACAAGCGGATGGGCTGGACGGGTGGATGGATGAGCAGGTGGGTAGATGAATGGACGGTGGAGGAAGACTCGGTGCCGAGGTCGTGGCCCTGAGAAGCAGCATCTCCCACCCACCGTCCAGCAGGAGCCTGGTCAGGGGCCTGGGCGGTGGAGGGTGGAGGGACAGCAAAGCCAGCCTCTCGGGGGCCCAGACCTCCGCTGTAGCCTCACAAGATCTGGGTGGAGGCTGCGGGGCGGGCAGAGCAGGTGCTGCGCACAGGCCAGGGCCAGGCAGGGGCGGCCGGCGGGTACCAGATGCTGCTACTGCCTCTGCCGCTGAGTCAGTGTCACCATGGCAACTGGGCCTGCAGGGTGCTCCTGGGCACACCCCCTCACTGCAGCCACCACCACAGCCGCCTCCTGGCGGGGGCAGGGGGAGGAGGACCTAGAGCTCTGGGCCCAGGTTCCCGGCAGCCTGGGGCCCACATGCTGCCCTCCCACCCCCTCCGCAGCCCCTCCACCTCCTGGGAGTGGACAGGGTGGGGTCCCCAGATGAGGACAGGGTCTGCTTACTAGATATGAAGAAGCGGCTACAGTTGGGGGGCGAAGGGGAGAGGGGCCTGAGTAAGGAGCCACAGGAGGTGTGGAGAGGCGGGACACAGCTATCCCCAAACCTGAGCCTCCCCTGTCTCCTCTGGGGCATGGATGCTCATGGGGAAACTGAGGCAGGGAGAGACGCCACGGGCTCCACCTGGGATGGCAAGGACTTGAACTTCTCTCTACCGGCGGTAGAGGATTGGGGTACCCCTGTGACCCCACCTCCTCTCCTCGCTGCTCACCAGACTGACTCCAGGACCCCTCCTTGATAATCCTCCAACACTTTGCTTTTTTTTTTTT